ACGGAAGCATAATGGACGACGAGATGAGCTCGAGCAATGAGGGTACAGCTACTGAAGAAAGACAACTGGCCGAGGAGCAAAGGCGTCGAGAAAAGATGATACAGCACCTTGACGACATGGCGAAACCTTTTTTTTTGTTGCGGATCTGTCAGTTCATGTGCCGTTCATTGTGTCCATTTCGATGCACAATTGCTCCTTCACTGAGAAGCCCCGTCCAGAAGGACGCGGTCGAGAGGTCATATATGAATTTGTTGATGGAGAATATAATCAGCAACTTTCCGGCTGCGCTATCCTCCGTATTTGTAGGCTACATCGCATATCTTCTTTTTCTCTTCACCTCCGAGAGACTGGCCCTGTCCGTGATTGTCACGTGTTTTCTGCTCGTCCTCATCCTCTTTGGAATGGCGGATTCCCAGAGCAGTCGCATTCTGTTTTACCTTTCGCTGCCATACTTTGTTGCCGAAAGACTGCGTTGGATTCTATTGCTCTACGCCACTTTTCTCGTGATCTTCGGCTCAGGTCTCAATTTTCTCCAGAATGCAAGTGTATTTCGCAATGCCATCGCTTGCATATTCGCTCAGGTCTATGCCAATTTCGAGCTGATCCTGCGCATAACCACCTCTCCCTTCAAGCTGGTGTCTAAGCGCATACATAGCATCATTAACCGCTACAACAACTACATGGAAAAGATAAGGAGGCTGCTGCGTGGACTGAGGTTTTCCTTGTTCAAGACCCGCTTGATCCTTGACTCCAGAGCGACTTGGAGCAATGTCATTGTGGAGACATGCAGCAGCAAGAATGCCATAGAGAATCTCTGCCTCTCCGTAGTAACCGACTTCCACCATATCTGCGTCGACGGCCTCATCAGTTCGGCCCTAGCTCCCTTTTGCTGGCCCGTACATCTGATGGGCAGAATCTTCTGCCCGTCGCTTCATTCGCTCGCCAGCATGTGTAAAGAGTTCAAGCAGAAGAGTATCGAAAAATTGCCCACAGACGTGCTTCCCACTGAGGCCTACATTGGGGATACCATCAACCAGATCTATGAAATAACCGGAAGGAAGAATCTTACAATTGAAGCAGGAGATATTCCCCTAGACATGGACGTGAACATGAACATTTCTGGAAAAACGGATTTCATGGAGATGTTGGAACAACAAATTGACATATATGCCGGCATCATTGAACTGGGAAAAATAATATTTGCCTGGATGACCATAATCTGGACAGTGGCTTCTCTCATTAGAACGGTGTGGAAAGCGTATTTATTCCGAT